TTAAAATTGGCTTTAACACCAGGGATGGCAGTGTACCCCGGAATACCTGGGCGGTGGTCAGTACTTCCAGCTACATGAAGTGGGAGAATCAGGCTGGCATCAGACAAGAATTGCCATAACTGCAGGTAATAAGGCAGATTTAGGGAAATTGCATCAGAAACTCACTAGTGCTAGACAAAACGCTCCATGAACCGTGATGAAAACAATACTTTGCCAAAATATGGTAAGATGCAGCCCACAGATGGACACAAGGTGGTGATGTGAACATGTGATGCAATGTGCCTTTAAGAGGGTTCTGTTCTGTCCTGTTTCTCTTGAAGAGGGGAGTTGTAAACCTGGTACTGAGGTGTCTGCTCCATGGAAAGCAGGGTAAATAGCTTTGGGGTTTTTTTAAAGCAGACAAAAATAGCATGAGTGGGTGGAGTCGGGTTCACACAGACCCAGGGTTTCAGTTTTGCTTTCAGTTGTTGAAATTGGGGGTTTGGAGTTGAAGCTGCTAGACTCAGCTCTCTCTCTACTGCTGCAAACAGCTTGAATTCTTTCTCGGCTGCTGCAAACAGCTTGAGTTCTCTCTTTGCTACTAGATTCATTCTTTCAGTTATTAATTTCTCCAGCAGTGGAGGAGATTGCAAGTGAGGGAAATCTGTTTTGCTGACTTTGCCTTTGCAAAGGATATGTATATGGGATGCTGCTATATTGGAACAGTTCATGAGTAGTAGTTAAATATATTATGTTTATTATGTTTATAGGGTTAAAGTTGTTAATTTTCATTTGTTGTTTGTATTTTAATTGTGGCGTAAGTATAAAGTGTGTTTTACTTAAAGCTTAGTAGTTGGACCAATCAAATTGCATCTGGAACACAGCCTTTAAATAAGGTATAAGTTAGGGTCAAGGCTATCTCTGTGACATGTTTTGAGGAGGTTTGGTCTCGTCCGTGACAAAGGTTTAAAACTATTACTTTAGAATTTGCTTTCTAAGGTGGAATAAAAATGATCAGAAAGTGATCCTAAACATTGAGTTTAAAACAGCATTTATAAGAATGCCTGTGATTTCAAAACACTTGGGATTTATGCCAGAGAGAAAAGAGAGAACAGAGTTGTCAGAGAGGAAGAAATATATAAGACTATTGAAGACGTGAGTTTATGGGACCCTTGTTATGTAATAGTGAGTGGAGTTAACATTTTGTTTTAATATCTTGGTCAAAGACATCAACTGAATTAAAATAGCATCAAGTGAATACACAGAAATTTCTGAACGGAAACTGATTACAGCCATGACACAGTGTGGAGCTGGAGGAACACAGCAGGCCAGGCAGCTGACAAGAAGCTTTTTCACAAAGAGGGACACATTCTTCACTGAGGTTTGAATTTCTGTCTGGATATATGACATTAAAAGGGATTATTTTTCTGATGCTTGTAATGAGATTATTCCAATGGTTCTTCTCTTGTCCAATATCATTGATGTTTGGTCCATTTTTTGTAAAAGTGTGTTGTATTCACAGGAGGCTGCCATTCAGTAACTGACCTCCTCAGTAGACAAAAATAAAATAAAAAGGTTGACCCATCAAGCAAAATTCCACTCTGAGATCAGATTTATCCAATAATATCAGCAGCTGGGACCATGACAGAGGCAGAAACAGCTACTTCTGTGAAAAGCAGAGGTAAAGACTTTCTTTTAATATTGGCTACCCAGCAGGACTGATTGCTGTCCATCTAGGTGGAGATTCTGGGACCAGGAGTTGCCATAATTGTCCTTGCAACGAGACATTGACTTGGGCCTATTCAGAAGACTAACTGGCTTGACTTCCAAAGGATACTGAAGGATTCACTCAGATATGGCACAAGAAAGAGAACCCACTGAAAAGCCAGGAGTTTTGGACTTGACCTTTAGAGTTATGCATCCAATGGGAGCGTGGTATAAAGTGAAAGAAATGTCATTAGACATTTTGATTGGATCAGTTAATAAGTGAAGAATTATCTGTTCTTTAGTTTGACATATTAGTTGCTCTTAAGTAATATTCATTCTATATTGATTTTAGTTTGTTTGTTATGGTGAAAGTGGTACAATGTGAAATCTTGCCCTGCAATTTTTTTATTCACTCATGGATTTTATTCATTCATTGCTAGCTAGGCCATCCCTAATTGCCCAGAGGGCAGTTAAGAGTCAACTACATTGCTGTGCATCTGGAGTCACATGTAGGCCAGACCAGGTAAGGATGGCAGTTTCCATTAGTGAACTAGATGGGTTTTTCCTGACAATTGGCAATGGATTCATGGTCATCATTAGATTCTTCATTCTAGATTTTTATCGGATTCAAATTCTACATCTGCCGTGGCATGATTTGAACCTGGGACCCCAGAGCTTTACCTGGGTCTCTAGATTAACAGTCCAGCAATAATACTACTAGGTCATTGCCTCCCAAAAATTTTTCCAAACACCTTAGAAAATATGTCTTCATTAAGATTATTGTTCTGCACAGGGATTGCAATATTTTGAAGTGTGAAAATTGTAGATTCTACTTTAACTTGCCAAGTAGGCCACTGTGAAAAGTAATTCTAAATTACAGGAATATAGGAAAAAAACTGGGCTATTCAGCCCTGCGAGTTTTTTCATCACTGTATAAGATTACGATTGATCTGTGTCTTAATCCTATCTACGCACCTTGGTTTTGTAAACCCTAATACATTTAGCCAACAAAATTAAATAGTACAAATTCAAAAATCATGTAGCTTAGGCTGTGATACAAATATTAAATAATGAATATGTCACAAGCCTTGTATTGCACTGTAGGATTACAAATTGTTTTACCTCATGTTAACATATCACCATATTGAAGATGACAATAAGTCAGTGAGTTCTGTTAAGCTGATCAGTACATTGCTGAACTGATAGATATTATTCATTTTTAAGCGTAGAACCATTAATTACTTTAAAAAGTGAATTATTAGCTTTGATAAAGCTACAAGGTCAACTCAAATACCTGGCAGTATTCTAATGTTGAAGCTCATTCGCATTTCAGTTGTGTAAAAATAGAATGTATAAATAGGTAAATTTTTATAAATAGGGAGGATTAACAAACAATTATCCTGAGTAATAACAGATGTAGTTCCAGATGAGTCAAGGCCCATTAGATGTAGCCATTGTTTGAACAAAGCATTTAATTGATTCATATACTCATCCAGATGCCTTTTAAAATGTTGTAATTGTACCTGCCTCTGGCAGCTTGTTCCATACACACGCCACCCTCTTTTTAAATCTTTTCTCTCTCACCTTAAACCTATCCCCTCCAGTTTTGGACTCCCCACCACACTAAGAAAAAGACCATGGCTATTCAATCTATTCATGCCTTTCATGATCACAACTACCAATAGTTTGAAGAGAAAGATGCACAAATCCAGAGCTGGAGGAATATAGATTAATAAGGAAGCAAGAATATGTTAACATTGAACATTAAACATTAATGGGCCAGGCTCCCGTATGTGTCAGCATAAGCTCAGGGGTAATGAATGAACTCATGTTTATGGAGATGGAATTTGTGACATTAGCTAAACATGGAATTAACAAGCATGGATAAATTATTGGGAGAAGAAAAATCCTGAAATAAATTGACCTTTTGTCTGGCGGGGCAGGCAAACCCAGAGGGGAAAGTGTCATAACAGAATGATATGCTTCATTCCATTTAGAACATTAACCCAGATGTCTGAAGCGTCAGTTATATGTCAACTGTTTTTTTTGTCTCTCTTTCAGTTTTTTGAGAGACATGTCACATGGGCTTGTCACAATGCAGGTCAATCACTCTTCATTTCAGCCAGTTTTGAATTTGTCAGTTGATTTTACAGCCAATGCCCTTTCTACCACTAACTGTTCTCATTTATCCAGACTGGGGATTGGCACTGATACATACTGGCTTGCCTGCACCAGTGACAGGGCTTTTCTGTGGCCAAGAAGTTCTGCAATGTTTTTTTTTTTAAGAAAGAAACATACGTTCAGAATAAATAAATAAATAGCATGTATTGCTTTGACATTCTCAAAATGCTACAAAGTCCTATGCAATCAATGGATTAGATTTGAATGGCTGCTATTGATGTAATTTTTAAAATGTCTATTTAAGCATGCAGCTAAGGTCTCTTTTTAACATCTCCTTGGGGAAAAAAGAAGTGGTGTAGGCAATCCTCTATCAGGAGGAATTTTTAAAACTCTCAGCTGGGAGTGTTTCAAGACTGAAAGTGTTAAGACTAAAAGTTTTCCTATCTGAATCATATCTTTTAAAACACCACTATAAAAAAAGAACATTTTAAATTATTTCAGAGATAGTAGGAACTGCAGGTGCTGGAGAATCCGACATAACAAGGTGTAGAGCTGGATGAACACAGCAGGCCAAGCAGCATCAGAGGAACAGGAAGGCTGACGTTTCGGGCCTAGACCCTTCCTCAGAAATGCTGAATTTTAAATTATGGCAGTTTCATCCATTTCTACGATAATGTGGAGTAGGGAGACCCATAGAACAGCCCAATTATTCAACGAACATAATGAATACTGAGCCCATTTTGAGCTGTCCCTTACATCAGAGAAATGTAAGCTCATCAGCAGGCCAGATTCTTAATTGGAGTATCACAGATGTTTATTCTAGTTTAAGCTCTCATATTAACTGCTTGTCACACATGGACTAATAGAACAAAAATTAATCCATCTCAAAAAACTCCAGTGATTAGGACACTTTCTGGGCAGACAGCATTCAGTGTCTCACTAGAACTCTATCAAGCATCACTCCTTGGTCTCAAGCTGGACAAGGTATTCAAACAGTCAACAGAACTGCAGCCCCATGAAGTTAACTGCGCTCAAAAAGAAAACAAAAAGGCCAAGAATTAACATTGCTACTTTTCATATCAATGGGCAAGACATTTAATAACACAGGCCAATGGAGTTGCTCAAATAAAACTTAAACAGGGATTGAAAACCACATTAAAGGAGTGTTGTAATTATAGTAAATTAACAAACAATTTGATTGTACTACTTTTTTTATTAGATTAGCAGACAATGAAAAAAACATTTTCCTTTGTAGATGGAGCTATTAAAAATACACAGTATACTCACAAGCAGCAATATTACAAAAGTTACAGCAATGTTGGACATTATACAATAACTACCCATCATTTTGACAGTTTAAACTGTCAATGTACAGTTACATTTTCACAAGGCAAATGCTAAGCACACAAACAAGAATCCTTCAACACTGCCTATAAAATCTGGTAGTTACTATAAGGATGAAGCACCTTAACACTCCAGCGCCACATTTATTGTAACTTTGGTGCTTACTTAAACTTCATGCAAATAATGACAGTTAACATGAACAATCATGCTTCAGAGCATAACTAATAGAAATAAATTAAGATGCAATCTTTGCATTAAATACAATTTGTATTAATTATATTTAATACAACGCTTGCAGTTTTTCAATTTTAGGAAGGATATAAACTACTTGCTTTTATACGCAGTCCACAAAGTAAATAAATTACAAATTATAGCATTACAAGAAAGCCTTAGGAAACACAAATGGAAAAGGAACAAGAACGTAGAAATAAAAATCAAAATAAAAAAGGAAATCATGCTATCCCTTCAGTTGCTCAGAGCTGGCCTTTAGAGTTAGAATTACAGGTGATGGACAGGAATCTGGATCTACCAATAGCTATTCAAGAACATGTTAGAAAAAGTGGCTTCAGATGCAACACTCTCGTACAATTACAAAGAACTGAAAGTCTGAAGAAATAGAAGGAAAGAAGATTTTCATGTTAGAAAGATTACCAGAAAAAGAGAAATCCAATTTGGAGAAACACTTAGAATATGAAGGAAATTATATACAGTGCTATGGTATCTCTTCCTCAGTAGATACACTTAGGTTTCCAAAAACTAAGCATGCAGTCAGATCTTCATTATTTGCAATCATTAGCATGAATCTAACTGTATGTTTAGCATAGCTTTGACAAATGCATAGCTTGACTTAAGAGTTTTGTTGTGAGGAACATTTTCAACTACATTTTGGAACCACTCCAAAACAAATTTTCTACAATATACATATTGGAATGATTCAAGTTGTTCTGTTATCAATAACATCTATAATGTCAGTGGGAGCAGGGGCTGCTGTTTTCAGAAAGAAAAGTTAAATAATGAAGCGTACCACTACAGGACCATGTGTCAAAGACTAAAGATGACCTAAAAAAAATTGCTGGCCTGATTAACATACATTTGCTAAGAATTAACTGGTCTAAAGTTTAAAAATAGGCCATGCCATGACTTGCTAGACCCCATAATAAATTAGGTACTGGTAGCTGTTCACTTTCTAAAACAGTAACTTGTTTTGAATTTGCTCTAGAAATAAACTAAGCCTCAATAATGACCGTCCTGAACTATTAAATCATAAGGAAGATACCATGTTAGTCGACGTCCAGATCACTATCATCACTACGAGACACCAAAGTACTCTGAATGGATGTGGGTGAAACCACATCTTTTTCTGGCAGTACACCATACTCGCGCAAAAATGCCTCCAAATCCACTGCAAAAAAGTCATACCCAAGTTGGTCAGTGATTCGCACAAAGTTGCCAATTAAATCTCCACATTTATAGACTAGCAGAGCAGGTAAAGCATTATCAGTGAATCTTGCACTGGCTCCAATTACAGAACTGCGGACTTTGCAGAATTTCACAACTGGATATTCTGCGGCCAGACACAGTAGACACCCATTCATAGCTTCACATCCGGGATGGTCATCTTCATAGATATGCACCATTATGAGTGTATTCTTTTCCTCTTTGTCGATTGTGTCCAGGAAAGCCTGTGAGCTCTCCAGTTCATAGATCTCTTCAAAACGTTTGCCACTGTAAAGATGTTCCCTCATCTCCTCCATCCGTTGCTTCCTGTACTGCTCCAAAAACAATTCATCATCCTTTTCATGTAGCATGTTACATTCCTTCATTGTCATCTATACAACATAATTAAAAAAAAAGTTTAATTTTGAATATAGGATTTTATACTACTAAATAAAGTGATTGCAATATATATTTCTTACTAATTTCAGTTACTATAATTGCTTCCAGCAATGTTAGTATTGGACCTTCAGAATTAAATCACAATTCACAGACAACAAACTTGGAAACTAAAAGAACAAAAAAATGAAAAAAATCTCATGATTGGATGCATTTTACTTTAGTCAAGTTAATCTAAAATTAAAAAGAATTGTCTGGCAAAGCCTGTTTTGATCAGATTTTAGCAATTTTTGCAATTAGTATTTCATTTTGCCAAAATTTGTACACATTAATCCCTCTGAATTTTCATTCAATTCTGTTTGTTATATTTTGTATTTCTACAGCTTTGATTCCTTATTGGTAAGTTACTCATCACAAATATTAACCTTTCCATTAATCTTCTCTTGGAGCATTTGCTGCTTCTGCTGGTCTTTCTCTTCATCCAAATGAGACCTACAACTCATTGAGAGTTTCTTGATGAGTCTTCGCATCTCCCGACGCTGCTCTACACGCTGTTCTGTTTCAAGCTGCTTGAATCGGCGCCAGTCATTTATTACTCCTTTAGGTCCTGCACAAACAGCAACCCACACAATGGTGATTCAACAAAAACACACTGTTGAACAGCAAGTCAGAGGCAAATGTTAGACAGCAACCATCATTAATTTATGAAACGTACAAAAAAGTGTAATGTGCTTCCTTCATGCGTTAAGTGCATCGCCATTCTTTCAGGAAATCAACAAACCCTTTCCACAAGTAGTTTTGAAAATTCATTCAAGTTTAATACCTAACTGATGTCTGTTACAAATTATAATACAACATGTTTTGAACTACTGAGCTGCCCGCTTCATTAATTTGTAAGTTTTATTTTCCAAAATAAACTCAGTCTGATGCACTTCATTAAGAAACAATGAATAAGTGGTATCCAATAATTGCAATTTATTATTTGACTATAGACTCGAGGTGCACAGCAACACTCAAACGTTCTTAAAACATGCTACATTTAATCAAAAACAAATATACAATGTTTTTATTAATAATGTAAAGTCTGATTTGATTGTGGATATAAGTTCATGTTGATACACTGCATTTATCAAATTCTGCATCAACAATAAACGATCAGTATTTCAAAGCTAGGAGCACCAACCCGAGAGAGACATTTTAAGAGTACCATGAAACCTAGAAAGAAGTTCACAATAAAACGTGTGGATCACGTTTGATCAGCACTCTGTACAATTTTATTTTTAAAAGTGATGTTAGTCACTTTGAATGCAGTTCCATTTCACTTGCGTGTTATTCTATTTATCAAAGATGAGGCCAGCTTATGGAGAACCTTAATTCTCCAAATTAGGCTTACACATTTTGCAATGCGATCAGCAAACAGCGCAAAGCAAGTCATTCAAAGATTTATAACAAGGAAGGTCAAGAATCACATGACACCAGGACTATAACAATGTATAACATTATAACAATGAGGATCACACACAGACAACCACACCTAGTGAAGAAATGGAAGGAAAGAGGAATAAAATGGAGCTTACTGAGAAAGCTTGAGGTTTAGTAATTTCTAGTTGAATGCACACAGTCAGGTTCCTGCCCCTCACCTTCAGTCAGTAGCAAAAGTCAGGAATGACATTTCTGTTTATGGTATTATGGAATGTTGTCATTCTCCAACTTTCTAGTAGCTCTTGGCACCCCTATCACAGCATCCTCCTCCAACAATGTTCCTTCATTGTTTGGCACTGTGGGATCTTTACACAGTCCCCATTTCAAACATAGGCAGTGCTTCTCTATCAATTGCTTCATTTTTCATTCCTGCATGGTTACCTCCAAGGCCGCAGACATCACCTCCTCCTCATTAATGACCACTTAGCAATATTATTTACAGAGATGGCTCCTGCTTCCATTTGCAAACTAACATCTGCTTCCCCACAAACTCTCCAAATCTCTCAACTCTTCCAATGCGCCTCTGCTGTCAAGATTACTTACTCAACATCTGTTCTTGGATGAGTTGCAAGTTCTTACAGTTAAATGATTAGCAAGACCAAAGCCATCATCCAACATAAATCTATGCCCTGGCCAGAGAAGATCTCGCCGTCCCTAACACTACCTTGTACTGAATCACTAGTTCACTATCTTACTCTGAGCCCTTCCTGGCCTACACTGACAATTATTGCTTACCTCTACCAAACTCAATCCATCTGTTACTGAAACCCTCAATTAGATTTGAAATATCACGTTCAGTTATTTGTCTGTTTGCTTCCCACTTTCCACTATCACTAAACTTCCAACCAACACTCTACTGCCTACATCCATACCAGGTCCTCTTCAATTGCCATTTTTGCCTTTTCTAACCTGCATGGGATCACAATCTCGAAGTTTCAACTTCAACCACTCTAACCTTTTCCTCTCTATAACCTGAGCCAGTACAACAACCATACTTCCAAACCAAACCCCTCCCTCCCAAAACTTGGAATGTTCTTCACATCAATCTCCTCTGCCTTCCTTCCTTTTACACACCAGCAGTTGCATTTTCAGCCATCTAAAGACAATGCTTGAAATGCCTCCATAATTTCCTTCCCCAACTCCGAACAACTCTTTGCCTTGAGGTATTATATATTTAATGCATTATATTGTTACTGGGTTACTCAGGAATACCACGAGGAGAAAACTACAAGCTAAATTCAACAATACAGCACACGTAGGGCCGAACAGAATAAATCAAACTAAATTAGGTTGCCAGGCAGGTGGCAAAAGATTTCCTCTACTTGCTATGAGTATGTAAAATCATACATCCAGTAAGTTCACACTTACAGATTTGCTTCACAATGAGTGAAGAGGAAATGTTAGCTTACTATTTTAATTAGTTACTGAAGAAATGTCAATGATTTAATGCTTTAAAAATAATCTGGGTATCACCCTTTCAACATTTAATTTTGCTGCAGGAGGAAAAGTCATTTGATTGATTTGAAAGTGAGTCCTCAACTTAAAAGTCTTAAATATTTTGATAGCAAACGTTTTTCATTTTCCAGTGAAATTTCTCACTCTATACCTGTGTTGACAGCACTACGTTCTCGGACTTCTGCACCCATAGAAATCCCTGGATTTTTGATGGTCTTTTGGTCATTTTCATCACCATCGCTGTCTTCATCCTCACTGCTGCTATAATAGTACTGGAGCTTTTCTCCAAGGATTTTATCGTCCAAAGTAGTCATTGCAACCAGCGATCTGAACCAAAGTCAAAAACTAACTAGAAGAGAAAAGCAGAGATGAGTCTATTGCATCACTTAGATTCAAGTCTGTCTTAAAAAATACTTTGCTAACACCTTTCAGATATTCCAACACCCTGTTTCAACATTAAAAAGACATTTAATAATTTGAATTCTTGCACTATTTTACTAAACTTGCGTTCATATCAAATAAATGCAATAATTCAACTTTGTCAAGTTAGAAAGTGGTCGATGCCAGCAGCAACCTTTTACATTAAAAATGAATAGAAATAATAATTTCATGTGGGAAAGTTAGATTTTCCATGCTCATTATTTTAAACTACTATGTAATGCAATTTACTACATTCAGTTGATTCCTTGAAAGAAAATATTGAAAACTACTGTTTATTTAATTTTCACTAACAGAACTGCTGAAAATTAAACAATGACATTTTTGTTCATTCTCCATATTTCAGGTTTGTCTTGAGTATCACTACTGTAACTGGAAGTTATCTTCAAACCAAGTTTATATATCTACTCTTGAAATATCACCCACTGTAAAAGCACTATTTTGAATCAAAATAATTTCAGAAGTTTTTCAACCCTAGTTGCAAATCTAGTTGTTGGATTTTATGAGCGCTCAAAGTACTAACAATATATTTTATTGTTCCTTCGTTGTCGCTGGGTCAAGATCTGGGAATTCCCTTCCACTGGAGATACTGAAGATGGCAGAACTGTCCTACGAGGAGAGATTAGTGAATGTCAGCCCAGTTGAACCAGAGTTTAGAAGTGAGTCTTTTTTTGGGGTTGGGGAGGGAATGCGAGAGGCAGCATCTCCGATTGAAATGCATAAAAATTTGAACAGGACTGGTCAGACTGGATACGGGGTAGATATTTTCCCTTGTTGGGAGGCAAATCTAGAGCCGGAGACACTTTTGTCAGGATACAGGGCAGACCATTTAGAACCAAGACGAGGAAAATTCTCTTTACGCAAAAAGACAGTGAACGTGTGGAATTCTCTGCCGCAGAAGAGTGTGGAGGCCATCACCAAATATATTCAGACAGATAATTTTTTTAGATTCTAAAACCAATGGGTATAGAGAGAAAACAGGAAAATGGCATTAAAGATAGAGGATCAGCCATGATCCTATTGAATGGTAGCGCAGGCTCAAACAGCTGAATGGCCTACTCCTGCTCCTACTTTTAATGAATCTAAGAAATTAAAAGAAAAATGATGATACAGAATGCATTTGCTATCCCCATGGTATTAAGTTTAATTCCATTTTCCCACAGGTCACTGCTCTTCCAGTAAAAATCCAACTACGTTTTAAATGTGATGAGAATCTGCACCTCTATCACCATTACTGGGGCAGGATTCCTAGTCCTTTCTCTTCTTCGTGCTCTCTTCTGAAGGTAGGTCTGACCCACAGTGCCACAAACCCAACCACAGACAGAATAAGGAGCTATTCCTGAGCCCAACACAACATAACGGGGGTCGAATCACTTGTAGTTGGCAAGAATATCGTCCCGACCAGCTATCCAGCCAAAATCGGCCAACCAGGAGTCCAGAGCTTCCGTTGGAATGGAACTTTTACATGCATGCTATCTGCATAGTTATGGTAGAGAGACCAATTTCTTTCCATCACACAAGTGACCAAAAATCTTTCCTACTCTCAAAGCCTTTTGCTGGCACACACTGGAAGAATTTATAAGCTGATATTCGACAGGTTTAGCCACTTAGGAACACATCTTCCATGATCATTATGTCTTGGAGTGAGACTTGAATCCAGAGTTCTTGAGGCAGGGATGCTATCGCTGTGTCGCAAGACCTTCTGTTGCTTCAGGTGCTTCACATTCTCTGAAAAAGAGAAGTATTTCTATTCTAACCCTTCCACCAATTACTTTAATCTGGTCTTTGACTCCTGGTTAGGTTCCTTATAAATTTATGCACCTCAATTAATTTACCTCTTACACTGTTGTTCCAAGGAAAACAAGTCCAGCTGATCCAATTTTTCTTCGCAGCTAGAACTTTCTGGCCCTGGCAAAATCCTTGTAAAAAATGACATATAGCACATTGAAGTGTACAGCTAAATAACAGTCAAGGCAACAGAAAGGGTTTCAAATACAACATCTGTTCTTTAACAGGCACACTAGTAGAAGTCAACACAAGACTGATTGCTACAGATTGCAAGAGGGTAACTGTACATTGGCCAGGCATTTAATGGGTGTGATTTTATGGAACCATGATGATTGGAAGAGATGATATGTAACCAAAGTTTGTATTTGCTGGTTATGTTTCTGATAGAGCCTCAAAGGAAGTGACAAATCTACCTACCAAAAATACTGAGCTAAAGCTATATAATGACAGCAATTAAAATTCCATCTCTAGGTACGGACTTATTTCCTCATTCTGCTCTCAATTGGAAAACAGATTCCATCAAAACACATCAAAACTGACATCACCTGACTAATGCCAGTCAATAGGCCCTTAATTTTAAAATATTTGTGAAGGAAAAAAGGAAAGCATTAAAATATTTTGCCAATCCTACAAGCAGGTCAACTCAAAACCCTTGGTGCAACACTACAGAAATCAACATTTGGTTGTTCATGCAATAATGCAGTTGAGCCTACCTAAATAAGCTGCCACAGGGCAAAGCTTCTACTCAGCTCTACTGGTTTTCTCAATACAATTTGATCAAGATCAGAATATCCAGCACAAGGAAGATATTTAAGTGCACATTATCTTCAGCCCAAAACTGATTTTGCATGTTTCTTTGAACAAGTGAAATGATCATCTTATACAATAATTCTGCTCACTAAACCATTGTACCCATCAGTTGAATAAATCCATCGCAAGTTTCTAATAATTACAGCATTTTGCAGGGCTTCATGGAAACTAAAAACATTAGGCTTCTCTCTGGATCAAATTCATTAACAGTCATGATCTAAGTTTTGAACGTATTGTTTCAATTTGCCAAGAAACCAACCACGGTGCAGTAAGGTGACTAGAAAAATGCTCTGTATATATAGTTTTTTATAAGTCATTTTCAGTCTTTTAAAGAAGATTACACATGGAAAGTGATTTAAAATGGTTTTCCAAAACCATTTTAAGATCCATTTCTAAGTCGTAGTGAAATTTCACTGAATCACCACTCAAATATCAAATAATGTTTTATTGAAAGCAAAAAATTTGATATGTTTTAAGTGGAATACTGGAGGTTGGCTAACGTGGTGCTACTATTTAAGGAAAAGATGGTAAGGAAAAGCCAGGGAACTATAGACTGGTGAGCCTGATATCGATGGTGGGCAAGTTGTTGGACGGAATCCTGAGGGATAGGATTTACATGCATTTGGAAACGCATGGACTGTTTATGGATAGTCAATATGGCTTTTTGCGCAGGAAATCGTGTCTCACTAACTTGATAAAGTTTTTTTGAAGAAATAACGAAGAGGATTGACGAGGGCAGAGCAGTGGGCATAATCTATATGGACGTTTGACAAGATTCCTCACGGTAGACTGGTTAGCAAGGTTATATCACATGGAATAGAGACAGAACTAGTCATTTGGATACAGAACTGACTCAAAGGTAGAAGACAGAGGGTGGTGGTGGGGGTTGCTTTTCAGACTAGAGTGCACCATAAGGATCAGTGCTGGGTCGGCACTTTTTGTCATTTATAAAAGTGATTTGGATGTGAACATAGAACATATGGTTAGTAGGTTTGCAGATGACACCAAAATTGGGAGGTATAGTGGACAGTGAAGGTGGTTACCTCAGAGTACAACAGGACCTTAAATTAGATGGGCCAATAGGCTAAAGAGTGGCAGATGGATTTTTAATTTAGATAAATGAGGTGCTGCATTTTGGAAAGGCAAATCAGGGCAGGACTTATACACTTAATGGTAAGGTCCTGGGGGTGTTGCTGAAAAAAAAAAGATCTGGGAGCACAGGTTCATAGTTCCTTGAAGTGGATTCACAGGTAGACAGGATAGTGAGGGTGGCGTTTGATATGCTTGCCTTTATTGGTCATTGCATTGAGTATAGGAGTTGCGATGTCCTGTACAGTCACTACATGACATCAGTTGGGCCACTTTTGCAGTACTGTGTGCAATTCTGGTCTCCATGCTATAGGAAGGATGTTGTGAAACTTGAAAGGGTTCAGAAATGATCACAAGGATGCTGCCAGCAGGGGAGGGTTTGAGCAGTAGGGAAAGGCTGAATAGATTGGGGTGTTAGAGACTGAGGGGGAACCTCAGACGTTCATAAAAATCATGAGGGGCATGGATAGGGTGAATAGCCAAGGTGTTTTCCCCAGGGTGGGGTGCCGAAAACTAGAGGGCATAGGTTTAAGGTGAGGAGAAACATTTAAAAAGGGACGCAAGGGAAAATATTTTTACGCAGAGTGTGGTGCGTGTATGGAATGAGCTGCCAGATGAAGTGGTGGAGGCTGATACAATGACAACATTTAAAAAGCATTGGATGGGTATACGAATAGAAAGGGTTTAATATGGATATGGGCCAAATGGCATTAAATTTATTTAGGATATCTGATCAGCATGGACAAGTTGGACCAAAGGGCCTGTTTCCCTGCTGTACAACTCTGACTCTAATTGTGTTGCTTCACAGTAGATTTTACATTTGGCAGTATGCAAAGAAGCTTTGAAACAAACTCAAAAAAGAAAACAGATGCAAATCTGAGTGCTCGCAAATTAGATAAACTGCTCCCCCAGGTTAGCAAAGTAACTATCTCTGTTGCAAAGTATAATCAGCAACTGCCCCTCTTGCCAATCCCCAAGAAAGTTAGTCATACATGTGGACAATATGTCCGATTTTCATATTATAGTTTTGCAATGCAAGCCACGCCACACAACGATCTTCAGAGAAACAGTGATGTAACATTTAGGTGAGAATAAACGATGCAACTTCACGTGGTCTGTTATGAGATGCAAACAAGTTTTCACATCGTTCTCCCTTCTGCCTGTTGACACTTACATTTTTGTTATGGACATGGACAGATCTGATGCTGGCACCACCTTGGATTT